TTGTACTAGTTTTGGGGATCTAGCAACCCTTTCACTAAGGTCAGGTAACCCTCTTCGTACTAGTTTTGGGGATCTAGCAACCCTTTCACTAAGGTCAGGTAACCCTCTTTGTACTAGTTTTGGAGATCTAGCAACCCTTTCACTAAGGTCAGGTAACCCTCTTCGTACTATTTTTGGGGATCTAGCAACCCTTTCACTAAGGTTAGGTAACCCTTTTCGTACTAGTTTTAGTGATCTAGCAAGCCTTTCACTAAGGTCAGGTGACCCTTTTTATACTTGTACTTGATGTCTTCTCATTGGCATTGTGGGATGAAAGACTGCCCCTAGGTGGATGGGCAGGAGAGGTTTGATGTGCCCCTATGTTGGTGGGCAGAGAAGTGGATGGCTGGTAGGGATTCCAGTGTTGCCCCTGCCACGTGAGTATTGTGATACCTCTCCAGGCGCCTACTTGCGGTAGATTTTTTTTTTCTTTCTGAATTTCATTTTTGTTTAGCTTCAGTTCTTTCTTGTTTGAAGCTTGCCTTTTTTTTGCTATTTTTCTAAATGCTTTAGCTTTTTCAACATTTACGAAACTTGCCTTTTTCTATCTGTGGCGAGGACGTCTGATGAAAACGAGGATTGCTCGTAGGTGGTGCCCTTGTGCTGGTGGGAAAAGGAGTAGATGGGTGACAGGGATTCTGGTGTTGCCCCTACCATGTAAGTATTGTGATGTCTCTCCAGGCGTCTGCTTGTGAAGTCCCTTCGGTTCATTGATGACTGATTATTTATGCTCTCCTGATTGATGATTGTTGATGCCCCTAGTTTGGGCTGCTTTTGCCTCTTGTTGGGATGATATCAATTGGAACTTATGTTTCCCTTTTTGGCTTTTCTTGTTGAGATGCAAAAAGATGTTGAATTCTTATTTATGCATGATGGTAGTTATTGTATATTTTGAATAATTCCCCTTTGATAAAGAAAGTTTCCTAAGTGTGTGAGATGTTTTTTTTTAGATGCGTGCGATGCATATTTTAGTTTCCCCATTTTTTTGCTGGTGGATTTTCTTTTCTCTTTCCCTCGAATGGACTGCTTTGATTGATGTGCAACATTAGTCATATTAGCCGTTTGGTGTATTGAGTCATCTTGGGGCTCCTTTTTTTCTTTTTGTTTAGAAACCCTAATTTTTGCCTAGGATGTATCCTAGCGGGTATTTTTTGCTCTTTTTATTTTCCCTAATTTTTGCCTAGGACGCCCTTTATGGGTTTTCATCCCAGCGGGTCTTTTTCATTTTTTTTGTTTCTCATTTTTTGTACTTGTTTAAATTTTGACAACCATCAACAATATACGTCATTAAGATTGGACAAGACAGAAAGGAAAGAAAAAGATGATTTAGAATGAATGGTTAGTGGAGGTAGGATGATTTAGAATGAATGGGTAGTGGAGGTAGGATGATTTAAAATAAATGGGTAGTTGAGGTAGGTGAGTGTTTAAGTTTTTCTAAACAAACATTTCCTTGGATAATTATTATAATCATTCTCCTAATTATCTTGAACTACATATCTGAGTCTCAAGCAGAGTCTTCGCAGAATTTGGCCCCTTGTAGAAGTGTTCAAGCCGTCTTTTAGCTTTCAACTATGCGAATCATCACTTGCTATTTTTATCCTTTTTAGATCCTTAATTTTTGCCTAGGACGTGTCCTAGCGGGAACTTTCGATTTTTGTTTTTCTTTTTTTTTGCCTAAGATGCCCTTTGCGGGTTTTCATCCTAGCAGTATTTTGCAAGTGATATTATTTTTTGGCATAAAACTTATTTGCTTTGACAAAATCTCCTGCCATCCGCGTTTGGGAGGACCAGCTCATGATAAAGTTGGACACCAAGATATTTACCCATTAGTACGTTGGAAACCAAGCGAGGAATTGATTTCATTCTTTACATTCCATTCCACATTTCTAAAGAAGTAAACTCTCGTCTTTTCTTGGCTCACTTTCATGCTCGAGTTGTTACAGAATGTTTCCAAGCAAGCTTTAATAATTTCAATTTCCTCTAGGGGCGCTTTAGAGAAAAGAATAAGATCATCAGCAAATGCTATGTAAGATAACGGTGAGCATTTTTTTTGGTGATAATTTGATTGGTTTCCACAACTTTTGTTGTTCAGCTATATTGATTAAATAAAATATCCTTTCATGCATAGCACGAAAATATATCGGGACAAGGGATCCCCTTGTCTGATGCCATGGGAAGGATTGAAATCTTCTAATGCCTCCCCATTCCATAAAACCTGCATAGACGGAGAAGAGATATAATACCAAATTAACTTAATCATTTTTTGCAAGAGTCCAATATCGAATAAATTAAGTTTCTCTAATGAAATCCCAGTTTATTATATCATAAGCCTTTTCTAGATCAATCTTTGTGGTCATCCATCATTTCTTCCTTGATTTATGTTTTATAGAGTGAATCACTTCTTGAGTTATGATAATAATGTCTATAGTTTGTCGATTAGGTACAAAGCTACTTTGGTTAGAACTCACTATATCTTCCATAATACTTCTCAAGCGAATAGTTACCACCTTTGTAAGTATCTTGTAGGATACATTACATAAGGTTATATGTTTATCTGCTTTAGAGAAATAACATTGTCGACCTTAGAAATGAGGGTAATAAATGTTTTGTTTACCAGTCGTAGTAGCCTATAATTTTTTTAATACCTCTCAATTTATCACTATCAATTTGTGATATTAATGACTAAAATAATATTTTTTAAAATTCAAAAAACTAAAAAATAATTTTTAAATTTGAGAGTTCAAAGTAATAATTTGTATATCTTGAATTAAATACAGAAATTTAAAATTTGAGACATGTGGAAGACTAAAAACATAATTAAAGTGTCATTAAAAAAATTAATCCTAAAAATATTAAAATTTAATTTAAAATAAAGATAAAAACATAAATTTTAAAAAATAGTTAAAAATTAAATATACAAGGACGATATCTCTTCCTAAAAATCTTTCCATGAAAAACTCCTTAAATAGTTCTTTTTATATATTTAATTTAATATTTTAAAGAAATTAGAATAGAAATGACATTTATCGTATTAAAAATTTTAATTTAGTTCAGAAAAAATAAAAAAATTAAAATTTACTTAATATTATTTAATTTTGTCATTCATCCTCTGTAGCCTTTCTATATTTCATATATAAAACGGAACGAGAGAGGAAGCTCATATCGATTTCGTTAGGTTTGTACAGCTTTCGGGGCGGAAAGGTTCAGCCTTTTCCGATTTTCATCAATTTCAACCGAAAATCACATCATTTGGTCAGTTTTTTATGCTTCTACTTCTAATCTAGGGTTTACTTTTTCTGAATTGTTTTTCTCTTCAATAGATGAGTTCGAATTAAAGGGATTTAGGTTGGTTCTTGGAATTGAAGTAAAATTAGGGTTTGTGTCTTGGGATCATCGTGCGTGAATTCATTCTGTTGGGCGGAGTTCTTGGCCTTTTGATTAGGTTCGTTTTCATTTTTGCGAATGTTTTCAATCGATCCCTCAATAGCATGATGTCATCACGTTTTTGTCTTTCACATGTAATAGCCCCAAAATAACCGTTTCTTTTTCGTTTTTTTTTTCCTTTTAATCTGAAGTTGTTATGCTAGACTTACGATGTAGTTGGTGGGGGGGGGGGGGGGTAATTTACACCATAACATTAAAGAGATAAGTTATGATATACACTGAGAGCTAGAGAGGTGAGAAGAGTAAATTTTGGCAAACAATTATATACGGATGATCAAGGTTGATTTAATTAATTTTAATCTTAGCTGTCCACTTCAATTATACAGTTAAGATTTGCTTCTTTCACACACTCATCTTTCACTGATTTGTTTTTGTGCCAGTTCTTCAGATCAATGAACACGTGAAAACATATGATGATAAAATTGTTGTTGAAATGGATTTTATGGGCTTGTATGTTAAAATGGCTATTCTATGGGTCTGTATGCCTTGTTTTGAATGATTTATGGTTGTGTTTATTGTTGATTATATCAGCTTTGGCATTGAATTTACAATTCGTCACATATTATTAGATTAGATTTATAGTATGTTTGTGTGCATCTTTTTTGTTGCAGAAAAGTTTACTTGCTTTTCAAAAGCTCTCCTAGGAAGTTGAAAAAAGAAAGTAATTTGTTTTTAAAAATAGATTAAACCAAACATGTACTTAAATTATACCATGTATAAATGTATATTAAAAAATAACAAATTTAGATTAGAAGTCAACTGCATCATCTAAAAGGCTTTAAAGCTTGCTTGTCAAACAGTGAATTGCTGTAAACTGCATTATTTGGCTGTTAGCTAATGGACAAGGGGGTGCCACCTAGCCTCTTCGTCAATGATGGTTCTTTCATGGAGAGGTTCAAACAACTTCAACAAGAGCAGGAGAAAGGGAAGAATGTCAAATTAGAGGATTCTAAACCGATTAAGGTTATTTCAGGGTCTTTGTCTCCCAATCCCTCCATTACCAAAACATCAGTGGACTTGAAGGTTAATGATACGAGGAAAACATCCAAGGGTGGTTCTGGTGGCAAGCTAGCTTTCAGTTTGAAACAAAAGTCAAAGCTGGTGCCACCCCCTGTTAAGTTGAGTGCTGATGAGGATGAAGAAGAAATTGAAGCTGGGTATGTTTCAAATGATGCACCACTGAAACGACAAAAATTAGGCCAGGAGGAAGGCATTGACCAATCATCAAGACAACTTGATGTTGGTAATTACTTCTTAAACTTTCTAGTTTCTACTGATAGTTGGCACATCATTGGTATTCCTGCCGATTGCAGTTTTTAAGTTGGAATAATCAAGTAATAGCTTAAGTAATTCTTTTATGATTAATTTGTGATCCATTATGGCATGCCTTTATATATTTCATGCTAATTTCATTATGATCTTATTTTATCCTTTTTACTGTTATTAAATTTTTTATTTCAGTAATGGGTGCTCTAAACCTTCCAATGTCATTTCATTGTGAATTTTAATATAATTTCTGTATTTTTATATATCATAATTGCTAACCTGCTTTCTAGTTCTTTCCTTTGCTGCGTTTTTTTTGGTATTTTGTTTTCTGTCCAAATATCTGTCATAATTTTCTATTGGATACAATAACTGTTCATGAGGCTTTACCTATAAGCTTGAGATTTTGCGAGTGATTGTCCTTGATATGGTATCAGAGCCTCTAACCGAGTGATCAAGAGATCAGTACTTGCTAATTCTAAATAAAAAGTATGATTCAGCACATGGTAAGGTGGGCCTTTGCATTTTTCATGCTTCAGGCCCCAAGGGCTTGTGGAAGGGGGCATTATAGATAGAAAAACATTATCAGCCTTTACCTATGCTTTTAGGAGAGTTGGCTTTTGAAAGCTCTATTGCTGTTTTTAAACTCAATCTGTGAATCATATATTTCTTTTTGCTTTTAATTAGAAAGCAACGTTTGCATCTTTAAGAATTTCATAAATTATTATTCCTTTCCTAAACTCTCTTTTTTCAATGTGCCTTTCATAATCTCTCTTTTTATAATGTGACTTGGAGCCAATTTGTTTCGGCTTTTGTCTAAGTTTTTGAAAAACTCAGTATTTTGTTTTGACTATTTTGAGCAGCTTCTCAAAAAAAATCTGAAATTACATCTTCCTTCTAAAATAAAAATTTCTTTTGTAATTTTAAACAACAAAATAATGTTTCCATAAAAAATAAAATCACTATTTTATACATTCCTAAAATAACTTTTTAAAAGCATAAATAAACAACAGGCCTGTTTTCTGTTTGCTTAGGAATAGAAGGAAGGGGGACATAAATGTAGTAGCTCCGAAATAGGAACTTGCCATTTCATTTGTATTCATCCTGTGGCTTACACAAGGGAGTAATGGAGGAGTAAGAAGGGTTGAAACTCGGGTTTGTTTGTGATGCATGTTCAGAACTCCCCTCGCAGAAGTTTAGGTGAAGGAAGATACCAGTTTTGGCAATTGGCATACGCAAATTGCAATTACACCATTTCCCCCCTTCCTTTTTTCTTCACATGAAAATAGAGTCATCCTCTACATTAAGTGCGGTTTCATTGTTGAAGAGGTCATCTCGGTGTATACCTTCTTTGCTCATTAAAGTGGCATGCAGCAAAGAAGAGAAAATGTCTTGAATATTTTTGTCTCATGAATGCAGCTTATTCCTCAAGTACCTATCAGGAAATGGTGTATTGGCAGGCCTGCTACAAGACTAATTTGCATTCCCTTGTTCATGCTCTCGGTATTAATCAGTTTTATAAGTGATATGCAGCACCTCCTTCCCCAAGTGATCCTACAGTGAAGAAAGTCGCTGACAAACTAGCAAGTTTTGTGGCTAAAAATGGAAGGCAATTTGAGGATGTTACACGTCAAAAAAATCCCGGGGATACACCTTTCAAGTAAGTATGGAATCAACTTTTAATGATTTTCTATTGACATCTTATTTATGCATCCAAATTTATGATTATATGTGGTGAATGTTTTAACTTGCAGATTTTTATTTGATGAGAGATGTGCTGAATACAAGTATTATGAATACCAGCTTGCTGAGGAAGAAAAGGCTCTTGCGCAGTCAAGGGAATCACAGGTGCCTCATAATGGTTAGTATTTCAGTATATTTATATTTTTAAATCAAGTTGTTTAGGTGTTTTTCATTGCCTTTTTTTTTTTTGCGTAGAAGATGCAATCCCTGTTATTTCTTTTTCATTTAAAGTTTTCATTCATTTAAATGCAATTTTTTGGTTTATGTCCATGGTTATATTTTCATGCATTTTAATATATTTGCATGTTTCTAAACCAAGTTCTTTAGGTGTTTTAGCTACTTTTTTTTTTAATCTAGATTTTGTGAACCCTTATGGTGTGTTTGGATGAGGAATTTTACAAATTCAAGGAATTTTAAATTCTTGGTATTTGAATTACTTTGATTTCAATTTCTATCATTGTTAAAATATTTTGTTTGGATAAGTCAATTCAAATTTCTCAAATTTTAAATTGTTAGGTTGGATATGATAATTTGATTCTACCATGATAAAATTGATTTTAAAAATATATTTATATGTTGAGATTTTTAAATTAAATTTTAAAAAAATAAATATTAGCTAATTTTTAAATATTTAATAATTTTAAAAATTAATAGTAGATAAGATTTAATAATTTTAAATATATTTTTGAATATTCAATAATTAAAAACATGAAGAGATAAGAGACAAGATAAAATATATAAGTGAAATAAGAAGATAAAAGTATGAGGAATTTCAAATTCTTACTCTTTTGGGAGAATTTGAAATTCTACTATTTCAAGGAATTTCACAAATGCTTGAATTTCAAATTCCTTATAAATTCCTCATCCAAACAAGATATTTTACCTCAAAGAAATTGAAATTCTTCAAATAAATGAATTACTCCATGTAAATTCTCCATCCAAACACACTATTATTTATTTATTTGAAGTTTTCAGCCATTTTAAATACAAGTTTTTGGTTATGTTCATTGTGATTGATCTTAAGTTGTCTTTCATGTTTGTTTTTAAGCTCAATTTGTCAGTATTGATTTTTCTTTTGATAAGTGTAAGTAGAAAAGATAATTGATCAATAAGTTGGTTGGCTTTTTATATAATGTGTTCCCATTTTATAATTTCATACTTTCTTGATCCATTCCTGACACGTGTTGAGATTTAAGAGTTGTATTTTTCATGCATCTGTGTTCCATTGTGGGCAAGAAATCTCTATTGCCGCAAAAATACTGTATCTTGTCAATAAGACTGGTAACCATGTTTTCAGAAGTACTAGTATTTTAGCCTGTACATTGCACATGCTAAATGTTTATATGTACTAAATTTTATAATAAATAAAACATACAAATAAATATTATGTTAAATATATAAATCTTATTTAAAATTTGTATAAATAGATAATTTTAAATATATGATAAATAATTTATATTATAGCACAATATTATTTCTATTTATCGATAATTTATTCTAAAAATAGTAAAATTTAATCCGTTAATTATTAAGATAAATAAAAGGCTTAAATATGTTTTTGGTCCCTCAAATTTAAGACAAATTTGTTTTTGGTCCCTCAAATTTAAAACTGTTGTTTTTAGTCCCTGTAATTTTCAAAAATCTTGTTTTAGTCCCTTAAGTCACCAATAACATATTTGAAAGTGACTAATTAAGACAGTTATGCAATATGACCTGGATTTAATGTGATATTTTTACTAATAGGGACACGAATAGGTAGATTTTATGCAATAGTGTTTGATAAATTTCTTAACAAAATTTGAATATAAGGACTAAAATAAGATTTTTTGAAATTACAGGGACTAAAAACAATTTTAAATTTGAGGGACCAAAAACAAATTTACCCTAAATTTGAGGGACTAAAAACATATTTAAGCCTAAATAAAAATTAAAAATTGAATTAAATAGGAAGTTAAAAGAATTCATAAAAGCTCTCTTGTTGGAGGAAAATCCTTAAAAACGCTCTAGAGGTTTGTGTGTAATATATAGAAGTTGATTAAAATTTATATATAGTATTATATATATATAAATTCTATGTTTGAATATATAAATTATATTTAAAATTAGTATACATAAATATTTTTAAATATATAAATAATATTTTAGATTTGTGATAAATAATTTGTATTGTAACAAAAAAAATTATTTTTGTTCATTGATAATTTACTTTTAAATATTAATATTTAATTCATATATAATTATGATAAGTAAAAATCGAATTAGATAAGATGTTAAAAAAATCCTTACGAATCCTCTCGTTGAAGAAAAACCTCTAAAAACACTCTCGTTCAAGATAGAGGTTTGTGTTCAATGTATAGGAGTTGATTTTACATTTGCACAATTGTTGATGACACAAGTCATATAACATCTGTAATATTTTCAATCTTATAGTTGTAGCCAGTAAACTATGGATCATTTGATTGATCTTATTGATGTAGCAGATTATATATAATAATTATAATTTAAAAATCTTAGAAGGTTGTGATAGTTAAATGGTTTTTGGAGTATATATGTTGATTTTGATTTTGATTTTAACTAGGAGTATGTGATAGTTGTTTGAAGCAGTAATCATATATGTGACGTCTCTTAGTAATGTTGCTTTGTTCACCAATTAACCTGTGGATTTGATAAGTCTGGCCTTTCTTGCGTGTGGAATATGCTTTCTCATTTACCTCCATGTATATTTTAATTTGCTTATAATGGTTATTCAGGGACAGGCAGTACAAGCCCTTCATCTGCCAAACAGACTAGTGGTCATCAAAGATCAACTCAGCAGCATGCCTACCAAATTCCTGCATCTGCTTTATATGAAAGTGCTGACAATCCACGAGCTTCTGGATCTTCAATTCAAACATCATCAGTAGGAAGCAGTGGTAATTGTTATATTAATGTGCTTTTTCTTGTGTCGTCAATTTGATAAAGTTCAAGGCATGGCTGAAGGAAATCATAAATTTGTTCAATTGCATTTCATTTACTCCTGGAAGGAGAAAAAAATATGAACTATACATCAACTAATTACACTCCTCGTGGACTTGGTTTGCAACCTTTTTTGTTGCTGTTTGCTGTGTGTATTTCTGCAGCAGAAGAGCCCAGTGGTTCATCAAATGCTGATTCTTTGGCACTAATGGAGTTCTACATGAAGAAAGCTGCACGCGAAGAGAAGTATAAACAACCTAAGTATTCAAAAGATGAGATGCCCCCTCCTGCTTCTCTTCAAGGTTAAAATTGATCGTTACTCTGGCTGTTTCATGGTCATAAATCAAAATACTTATTTAGTCTAAATTGTTCCTTTTACGCATTTCTCCATTTGTTGGAATAATCTTTTGATTCCTTCAATTTTGGTGGCATGTTTACAGGCAAAAAAGGCCATCATATGGGTGATTTCATTCCTCCAGAAGAACTTGAGAAGTTCTTGGCTAGCTGTAATGATGCTGCTGCACAGAAAGCTGCAAGGGATGCTGCAGAGAGGGCTAGGATTCAGGCTGATAATGTGGGCCACAGGCTCCTGTCTAAAATGGGTTGGAAAGAAGGTGCTTTGTGCTTTTTCCCAGTCTAATTTTCAATCCCTTGCTGTATTTAATTGAGACATGCTTAAAGGATTGAGTCAAGCCTCGAGCTATAGCTGTTATCTTTGATGTGCAAAGTAAATTAGATGAATACTATGAATCTGCTGCAAGTTTGTCTTGTCTACCATAATTATGTTCTTAAATTTTATGTTGTGAGAGTTCTGTTTGAAATCTCACACACACACACACACACACATATATATATATATATGTATGTATGTATTTCATTATTATTGTTCCTTGTGCTAATAATAATTGATTTCCAGGTGAGGGTCTGGGTGGCTCCAGGAAGGGTATATCGGATCCAATCATGGCAGGCAATGTTAAAAAGAATAACTTGGGGGTTGGTGCTCAGGAACCTGGGGAGGTGACTTCTGAAGATGACATATATGAGCAGTACAAGAAGCGGATGATGCTTGGCTACCGTTACAGACCCAATCCTCTGGTAAATAACCATACTTATTCTTTTATTATGTTGGAGTTTCAATGACTTGGGTCACTAGCCCTGACTTTCGTGGTCTTTTGTTTTAATAAGCCTTGTTTTATTGGTTTAATTGTTTGTTTCTACAGAACAATCCCCGCAAGGCCTATTACTGAACTTGACAGTGGAAGCTTTCTCTGCAAGTCTTTCCGGGGACAAGGATATTTTACAATGTTTGATGATTGGGTAACTTGGTGTGTGTTGATAGTATGGTTTTCTTTAGCGTGCTGCACTGCTTGTACTCTTTTGAACATAAGATTTGGGGGAGAAAAGAGGGGGAAGGGTTTTATGTTCATTCAATACGCATTTTTATCCGTCAACGAATAATGTTTTTTGTTGTTATTTTTACTTGTTAACTTTTGAAGCAGTTTTTTTTTTATTGCTAGCATATTATAGCATGAAGTGGTACTGGGAATCCTAGCCCCTGGTCTTGGATATTGATAATTGCGTGATGATGTCTTAAAGAATCTGGCTTTATTGTCATTATTAAGATGTTCTATCAAGTGAATTAAAGAATTAAGAATTAATACGAAATTAAGTTGGTAGGGAGAAACTGCTAGAGGTTATAGAAGCCAATATCCGATATTCCCTTAGTATGCTTGGAAGTTGGAAGTTAGACGTTTTATTATAATTTATTATTGAGAAATGATGCATGTAAAATTTGTATGTACAATGAAAAGAGGAGAGAAATTTAAAATATAAAAAACAATGTATAAATTATTTTATTCTAATCTTTACACTTCTATTTGCTTGACTTGCCCAGTTTGGATTTAAGCGGAATATGATTATTGAGACTGACAAAACTTTACTCTAAATAAACAGTAGTTACTGGTTAAAAAGTCTTTTCTAACTCATTTTCCATCGTAAAACTCGCATTCAGTTGGTAAAATTTGTGAAAGCCACGATTGATGTGGATAGCTTCTCTAACAAATTATACGTGAAGTTTGGTATGAAATACTAACCCACGTCCCTAATTTGACTAATAAAATTCTTATTCTTATCACTGCCCAATTTTTATTCCCGAATCCGGGTAGAAGGTCCACTGATGTCATATCAGTGGGAGACCGATATTCCCACCTATTTTTTTATCTCTTAAATTCACTACATTTTATTTGTTCACATATATCTTCTTAACATATCCTTCTATAGAAACATCTTTTCGTTGTGTAAAACACAAAACAGAAACATATTTTTGTTTTATTGTGTGGATTTTGCAATGCAACGATGGAAGCATATTTTTCGTTGTGTATTTCCCCATGCACTCGCAATAAATATAAAATTAAATGAACATAACTTAAAAAAAGAAAAACAATTTTTTTAAAACAAATCTTGCTTAACAGTCTCATCATGATCTAGTCAATGAATATTGGGATACAAACAAGCTAGGATCTCGTAATCAGACCTTATCAACTTAGCATAGTAGTTAAATAGGTTCAAGGCATATTGGTTGAATATATAAAAAAAAAAATTGTTGTTACATCACCGTCTTGTAGGAGTTGCACAACTTTGTATATAACACTATCATGCCTATGAAATAAGAGTGTCGATAATGAATCTTAGACACACTTAGGCCACTTTTGGCTCTAATTTTTCATGAATTTTTAAGGGCATTAGGTGTAATGGGTTAATTTTGGTTCATTACACTCAAACTTGACCCCTTTAAAAGTTGTAATATGTCCATTATAATAAACAAAATAAGTGTCCAATTTAAACTTTTGCAAGCAAGGTATTTGGAAGAAACGGTGACCAATGAAAGTCGTAAATGTTTATTAATGTCACAAAACATGTCTATTTATATGAGTACATTGTACCCATAGTACTGAAAGTGAGTTAGATAAAGATTGTTTTTTATTTATGTATATCAATATGACCTTTTCATTAGTCAATGATTAAATATTTTAAACATGAAAATTGTAGGATTGGATATTTACAGGTGGTGTGATAGCAACTTAATAAGGGATAATATGATATGTTTAACAAAAATTAATAATCGTTTGGATAGGTTTTGTTACCATTTTAAGAAAGTGATTGAAGTCTAACTCAATCTTATAAAATCAACTTTAAGGTAAAAGTTGTTCTTCACTTATATACATTGTATATTTTTATCTTTAGTCAATGTGAGATTTCAGCACTCATTCTAACACCAAGTACTAGACATTTCAAGTGTGAAGTTTGCAGGACAAAGCATTTGTGAGTTGTTCGATAGTAGTCCAATAGTAGGTGACATGATAAGTCCATCAATATTAATTTTTGTTAGAGCATAGACTCTAACATATTCTGATACCATTTTAAAAAAGTGAATTGGAGTTTAATTTATCTTTATAAAATTGATTTATAAAATAAGGAGTGTTCTCCACTTATATGCACTAGTATGATCATATCGCTAATTAATGTGAGATGTTCAACTCATAAAAAAAAATAATTGAGATTGGATCAACAAAATAAATGGTTCTGATTGTTTGCTTGATTCCAATGTGCACATTAGACACCAATTCTTTTGTCTTTTGCCACAAGAAAATGAATATGTGGGATTTATAAGATGAATATATAATATTACAATGCTAATACAATGTAAAATACTAATAAGTGGATTTATGTCTCTATTTTAGTTTAGTTTGTTTTATTCATGTCCTGAGTTTATTCTTGACTTCTTGTTCCTTTTACTACTATCGTAATAGGGGCTTTCTTTGTAAGGCTCAGGTTTGTTTTATATTCACAAGATGGTAAAAAAGCTACTACCTACTTTAAGTGTAAGCGTGTATGGGTAATTTGTGAATCCAAATTGATTTAATAAGTTCGAATTAGTTCTTTTAGTGTCTAATTCAAACATGATCTAAATCAAACAAAATCTAATACGTATAGGTTGCTAACAGGTTTTGTAATTTTGACTTGTGATCTGACTTGATCCAATCATATATTATTAATAAAAAATAATATTAATTTAGTGTTTGGATAATCACTTATTATTTGCCCAAGATAATAGTTTTTGTCATTTTTGCTCAGTAATGAGTTTTTTGTTTTTGGATTGATAAAATTGTAACAATACACATTTATTTTAAATTTTATGTTGTATTAACGTTTATTGTTTGAGTTAATATGAATGTAGTAAATCAATAAATTTATTTTAAAATTTAATTTGTATCATTATTTATTTTAAGAGTTGATAATACTGCATTTACAACAAGATATCAAATGATTTATATCTATTATGAAATATTTAAATTGTTATAAAAAAATAAATTTAATTATGTTGAAACGATTGACCTAGTCCAATCCAACCTTTTCGTGATTAGGTTGGGTTGGATTTGATTTTAAAAAAATGTACAAACCTGACTCAACCAATTGAATTTTGATTGGTTCAGATAATTGATCAAGTATGATCCCACCCAACTCGCTTACACTCACTATGTATCTTTGTTAAAAAATGAGAGAGAAAGTAATAAATATTTTTTTGTTATAAAAGAAAGAAAAATAGAGAGAACAAATAAGAAAATATGAGATGGAGAAAATAATCTGACTAGTGTATTATCTTTGGGAGAGGACTAACCTATTTATAAGTACATGTGGTAATTGAACAATTACGCAATAAAGGGAATAATACATAACAGAAATATAAATGGTAATGATTGGTAATGAATATTGGCATCCACTAATTAAGACACTAATTATTATTCATAACACTCCCTCTTGGATGTCCAATATTTAGAATGTGCCTCGTTAAAACCTTACTAGGAAAAACCCTTTGAGATAAAAACTTAGTGAAGGAAAAAGAGTACATCATTCATAAATATTTATTTCTCCCCCTCATATATACAATCTTTAAGACGACGGAGTCCAATCTTGTGTATCAATTATTCAAAAAATTTCTTGGAAGTGGCTTTGTAAAGAGATTTGCTAGGTTGTCACTTGAGCGGACTTGTTGAACATTTATATCACCATTCCTTTGAAGATCATGAGTAAAAAAGAATTTTGGTAAAATATATTTTGTTCTATCTCCCTTTATGTATCCATCTTTCAATTGTGCAATACATGCATCGTTATCTTCATATATAACTGTCGATGTTATTTTTCCAGAAGATAAACCACAAGTTTCCCATATGTCTTGAATCACAGATCTTAGCCAAACATATTCACGACTTGCCTCATGTAATGCTAAAATTTCAGCATGATTAGATGAAGTGGCTGATATGGTTTGTTTTACAGATTGTCATGAAATGACTGTACCACCACTTGTGAACAAATATCATGTTTGTGATTTACCATTATGAGGATCTGACAAATAACCTGCGTCTGCATAACTATTTAGTTCTGATTTGGGAACATTTGAATATAATAACCCCATATCCATTGTACCTCTAAGATAACGAAGGGTTTGTTTAACTCCATTTCAATGTCTTCGTGTAGGTGAAGAACTATATCTTGCTAACAAATTAACAGCAAATGCTATATCAAGTCGTGTATAATTAGCAAGTATAGCACTAAGATATGGTACTTCGGGACCAAGTATTTCTTCATCCTTTTTCTTGGGGTCTAAATGGATCTTTGTTAACATCTAAAGATCTTACAACCATAGGATTGCACAATGGATGTGATTTACCTTTTAAGCACCTTTGTTATATAACTTCTTGATGCACAAGAATTCTATTTTCAAAGTATTCAACTTGTAGTCCTAGACAAAACTTTGTCCTTCCCATTCTTGGTTTTCATCTATGTATTTGAGTCTCCGTCTAGTCAGCTATGCAAACTCTTTACTCAGGTTTGTCCATCGTCTGTGGTTTTGTATCATCTGAGGCTTCATTGATTTCCTTCTAATGTTGAGCTTGTTTTCGCTTAATCTCTTCATCTGATGTCTTGTAGCTTTTACCCTTTACCTTGGTTGCTCGTGCTTTTGTCCTTTTATTTAGCATTGTGTTTGTGGGTATCTTTTTCTGATGTATTTCCTTCTTTTGATCAACCTTTATCCGGTGCTTAGCTCATATTTCTTGGTCCTGGTGTAAAAGGTGATACACGTATATTCTTCAGCTTGCCTGTACTTATGTCTTTATCTGAAACACTAACATATTTGTTAGAGATAACAATATGCATTATATTTGTCTCATTCAAAACCTTATTAGGAATTGCTTCGTTTGACTTAACAAACAAACCTATCATATTTCAACCCTTTAGTGACATCCACCCTATTGGTAGACCCACCTTCAACTAATGAAAATACATAAACTTTGCAACTATTGGATTTATTCCAACACAAGTACATAACACTTGAAATGCTTGCAATAACACCCAACTATTAAGATGAAGCTAATTAAATGTTATGTTCACCCACCTAAAAAATGCAAATTCATGGTCACTAAACGATAATGAAACCCCAAAATCGTAAAAAATACATTAGTACATATACATGAAGGTCATGAGCATATCTCCTTGCCCATGTACACATGCTCACCCTTATCGCAAGGCCACCATGAACAAATGAGAGTCACCAGTTG